CTTCCTTCCTTCCTTCCTTCCTTCCTTCCTTCCTTCCTTCCTTCCTTCCTTCCTTTTCTCCTTCACAGAAAGGAGATGGATGAATGGAGTTAGTTCAGCACCGCCGGCCGCCCCCCAACTTCTCGCTCTTCAGACACCCCCTCCCTCCCTCCGTCCTTCCTTCCTCCGTTCCTTCCTTCCTCCCTCTCCTTTTTCCTCCCTCCCTCCCTCCTTCCCAACATTTACAGAGTACTATTGGGTTCCCTGCCCCATGTCGTTTGGAAGCTGAACCAGGAGAGAGGAGGATGGAACTGACATTTTCCTCCTTTAGCTAAGGGTCTGCTCTGGACAAAACGTTGCTTCTCTGAGCCCAGGGTCTCGCATGTACAAAGCTGGCCCCTCGGGGCCTCCTGGAAGCCTCCTGCCCAGCCTCCCACCATGTCCCAAACTGGCCTCAGCAGCTCTCCTCCTTCCTGTCTCAGCCCACCATCCCCTGCCCCCGGCCAGAGCCCTGGATGCCTCTTCCAACCACCCCCTCCCTTCCCCACACCCTCAGCCCCAGAACAGCACAGTCCCCTCCCTGGGCTCCCGCACAGCGACCCGAGAATCCTTCTAGCTCTGACTTACGTCTTCCCTGCTTCCATCTATAGCCCCCGGAAAAATCCCCAAGCTGAGCACTCTGGTGTGACTCAGGCTCTGCATGACCCACTTCTCCAGCTTCGTCACTCATCCTGCTACAGTTGCGTTGGCCTCTCTCACTTCCTCAGTGGTTTCTGGATCCCCCCCACTCACCTCTCCATCCTTGCTGAACTAACTCCATTCATCCTCAGGTCTCACTGTAATTGTCACCTCCTCCGAGAAGCCTTCCTTGATTCCTCCCTCTCTCCCTCCCCACCCCTGACCTGGGCCAGTACGGTTCCCCTGTGTCCTGCTCTTAGCGCTGTACCTCTCATTTTAGAATTCTATTCCCTGCCTCCAGTCCCATGACACGTCCATCTCTCCTATGGTATGACAGGACACCACATCTGTCTTGGTCACCTCTGTGTCCCCAGTAACCGCTATGGGGCCAGGCATGATAAAAATTTGTCAACTGAATGAATGAATGCTTCTTCTCTCCCCTCCATGCTTTTTTTACTCCTCTGCCTGGAACACCCTTCCTGCTCATCCTAGGAGTCAGTGCCCAGGCAACCTGTATGGTCTTTCAAGACTTCCCGGACATTTCCCACGGAACAGGCTGGGTCAGACACCTCCTCTGGTCCCAGCAGTTCAGGACTTCCCCTAGCCTGGCCCTGACCCTTCTGCCTTCCCCATCTTAGCCTGGTGATAGGTCTTTCTCCCCACTGCCAACAAGCTCGGGGTCATGGCTGGGTCCTGACAGGGCTCCGAACACCAGGCTTCTATTTTCAGGCTTAGCAGAGAATAGTTTGTACACATTAAGTGGTTCCATCCATTCCCAGTGCGCAGAAAGCTCTCCCTGTTCCTCCCAGGCCTGGGGGCTTCACCTGGAGCAGCGAGAACACCACGGCACCTCACCCAGGCCTCATTGAATCCTCAAGATGACTCTGTGTAATAAGCATTATTATCACCCCACTTGATGGATGGGGAAAACAGGCCCAGAGACACTGAGCCATGCACAAAAGTCACACCGGTAAGCGGTGGCAGGCTCTGAGTGAAGGAGCCAGCAGTCCCCAGCTCTGCTCATGACTCACTGTGGCCGTCAAAGGTCCGGTCCAGCGTCGCCAACATCCCCCGCCCACTGAACTCCTCAGCCTGACCTCCCAGGGCCTCCCGCACAGCCTCGTGCCCGACCGGGCCCAGCACGTGCCGCCAGGATCCCAGGTACACGGTGAACACGGGTCCGTACTTCTTACTCAGCCGGGGGCAGGGGGCGAGAAGGGGCGCGTGCTGCGCGGCAGGCTATTGCCTCTTTCGGTCTAGGTGTCCCCATCATGGCCCTGTCACTGGACGAGGCACCTAAGAGGAACCCCTCCCCCCGCCCCCAGACAGAAATAACCCCCTTGGGAGGTTCAGCTCTCTTTCTGCACCCGTCTCCCACTTCCCTTCCCCATAGAGTCCCCAACCCCTTACCTCCTACAGAGCCCCAAGTTCGGACCCTGGGGCAACTGAGAACCACCCCTAACCCCCAACTCGGATATATGGCAGCAAAACTGGGTAGCTGAGACTTTGTCCTCTCCCAATTCCTCAGCTCTTCCCCCACCCCAAAACCAGCCACCCTTTTCTATCACTCGGCTAAACCCTCAAGTTCTGGAGCAGCGACTGCTGGGCACCTGCCCCATCTTTCCCTGAGACCCCCACCCCCTCCCCATGTCCTGAAGTCCCCCAGACTCCTTTCGACAGAGAACCTCTGGCCTCTTCCTCCCCCTCCTGCCCCAAAGGTTAGAACTCAGCCTTCCTTCCTGCCTTCTTTCCCTGCTGCCCCGGGGACTTCCGGCTCCCTCCTAGCTGAGCTCCACAGAACTCCGGCGGCCGGATTCTGCAGACATATACCTGGAACCCTCCAGCCAAGCCTCCACCTCCTGCCAGCGACCCCTCCCGCTTTTCTTCTCTGCCTCTCCCCAGCTACCTCTCCCCGGGGGATAAGCCCGCCAGCATCCCAGCATCAGCTTCTCTTCTGCGGGAGGGCTCCTGCCTCTGGCTTTAATCCCCTCCTTCAGCACCTTCCCCGGGTTCTGTGGGCCCCTCTCCCCGGTACCCCTGCCACCGGATCCTGCTTCCTTCCCTGCTCTCATCCTCTCCAGGATGCCGCGGGCAGAAGTCTCTGCCCCTCCTAGCCCGAGTCCAGCACACCAGGGTCCTCTCTCCCCAGACACCCCCACCCCCACCCCGTTCCACTGGACCTTCTCAGCTCTGGAGTCCTGCTCCCGCCCTACCCCAGAACGCCCCTAGCCCCTCTGCCCTTGCACCCTTGGCCTGCCTCCTCTAGGATACCCCAGGGCCTCTGTATCCTGGCGCTCTGCTTTCTCTCCCTGGGCATCCCCCGCGCCCACCCTGGCCCTGCCCCCCCCCAGCACAGGGCGTCCCCGCGGGCCCTCACCCGCAAGAGCCCCGAGTACAGCGCCCCGGGCCGGAGCTGCAGGAGGTTCCCCAGCAGCGGCAGCGGCGTGGGCCCGGGGGCAGGTGGCCTCGGGTCCGGGGCAGCGCCAGCTTCAGCACCAAGAACAGCCGCAGCACCAGCGGCCCCGTCCAGGTCCCGGCCGCCTCCATCGCCGCGGGTCGGCTCCTCCGCGCGGTTCCCAGACGCTCCACGCGGCTGGGCGGGTCGGGGCCGGGAGCCCGGCGGCTACTTCTGGACGAAATCTGGCGGAGGGGAGGGGGGCGGGGCCTCCAGCCCCTCCCGCTACCTACAGGCAGGATTCTTTCCCCGCCGCCGGATTTCTTTCCCGCAGACCACCACGGCCACCTGCCTGGGGACCTGCTGTCGCTCGGCTGTCTACCGGATCACCCAGGTTCGGGGGGCGGAGACAGCGCCTGGGGCCCCAGGTAGGGCGTGAGCACACTGGAGGAACCTGGAAGCCGGAGACTGCCTCCAGGAGGCCACACCCCGTGCCTGGAGCGGTGACCCGGCGCCGCCCTCCCCAGCTCCCACCTCCCTGCTCGCGGCTGTCGGGGTGTGAGTTCGGCGTGTGCGCGTCTTTGAGCCAATTTCCTCCAGCATCCTTCATCCTCGCCATGAACTAGGAGAAGGACTTGACCTTTAACAAGAAGGAATCTGAGGTTCAGGGAGATAAATCGGTTGGCTCCGGGCCACGCGGCTAATGAGCAGCAGAGCTGGGATTTGAACTCGGGCCATGCCGAATGATTGAATCATTCCTTCACTTAGCAGTTTCCTGTAGTGGTTGGGAACATGATGTCTGAAGCCAGACTGCTTGAGTTCACGGCCCAGCTTCTGGGTGCCTCTGTTAACTCTTGTAAAATGGGGTTAGTTTTCAGGATTAATGGGTTCATGTGCAAACAACTTCAAACAGGGCCAGGTGCGTAGATAACGAGTTATCAAGTAAATGTTAGCTAATAGTCTTTCAACTAGCCTTTATGGAGGTCCAACTATAAACAAGATTGTCTAGACCTGGAGATACAGGTTTGAGTAAGAGAGGTGGGCCCTGCCTTCCCTGAGCTCGTATTGACATGCAAATGAAGTCATAAATTAAGATAATCTCAAATTGTTCAAAGGTTTGCCAGGGCAATGAACTCTGTTGAGGAAGACAGTTACAATGTCAGGTCCATGCTGTTTGGTACAAAGCTCTAGCCCCAGTGTCTAGAGCAGTGCTGCGCACACAGTAGGTGCTCAGTAAATATTTGTTGCATCGAAGACTGAATGTAGGAGATGAAGTCAGCAGGGACCTGGAAAACAATCAGCATTGTATTTCTCCTGCAAAAGGAAGCAGGTGTGGGAGTTTTCAGCAGAATAGTTACTTAGTTTCCTTTCTACTTTCATTAAACATTTTATTATGAAAACTTTCAAACATGCAGTAGACACCTGTATATTCACCACCTAGATTCCACCAATAACATGTTACTATCCTTGCTGTGATGCTTACCTATTCATCTTGCTGCATCCATCCTTATTATTATTATTATTATTTGGATGCATTTTAGACAGTTGCAGACGCCAGGACACTTCACTCTCAAGCACAACAGCATGCATCATTTGCTAGAGTTCAGTATTTGTTTACAGGGCATTTCCCCCCACCCCAGGTAAATTTACATACGGTGAAATGCACAAATCTTAAGTGCGTTTTTTTTTTTTTTTAAAGATTTTATTTATTTTTTTGAGAGAGAGAGAATGAGAGATAGAGAGACGAGAGGGAAGAGGGTCAGAGGGAGAAGCAGACTCCCCGCTGAGCAGGGAGCCCGATGTGGGACTCGATCCTGGGACTCCAGGATCATGACCTGAGCCGAAGGCAGTCGCTTAACCAACTGAGCCACCCAGGCGCCCTTAAGTGCGTTTAAGCTGCATTTTTTAAAAGATTTTATTTATTTATTTGACAGAGAGAGACACAGCGAGAGAGGGAACACAAGCAAGGGGAGTTGGAGAGGGAGAAGCAGGCTTCCCACTGAGCAGGGAGCCAGATGTGGGGCTCGATTCCAGGACTCTGGGATCATGACCTGAGCCGAAGACACTTAACGACTGAGCCACCCAGGTGCCCCAAGATGCATTTCAACAACTGCCTACGTCTATGTGACCCCAACTCCTATTAGGATACAGTTACCGTCTTTCCAGAAATCTCCCCATACCCCTTCTCAGTCAAACCCCCCTACTCGCCCCCAGCACCGATCAATGCCTGCCCCCTCCCAGATTAGTTTTTTCTTTGAATTTATTTTTTTAAAGATTTTTTAAATTTATTTGTCAGAGAGAGAGAACAAGCGAGAGAGAGAGAGCACAAGCAGGGGGAAGTAGGCTCCCCACTGAGCAAGGAACCCGATGCGGGACTTGATTCCAGGACTCTGAGATCATGAACTGAGCGGAAGGCAGACGCTTAACCGACTGAGCCACCCAGGCATTCCTTCCCTTCGCATTGAAAGAGATCTTTTTGGCTACCCTCTGGTGAATGAATTGTGGATGACTGGGACAGCAGGTGGACCGGGGAGCAAGTGAAGAAAAAGCCAAGAACCTAGGGTAAGCAAGGTCCAGGCAAGTGATACCCGTGGCTTGGAGCCAGGTAGGCGGCAGTGGGGAGAGGGAAAGAAATGGATAAATTTGGGATGTCTATGGAGGTAGAGCCTGCAGGATTTGCTGTCAAATTGGGCTTGACAGCAAAGGAAGGAATCAAGGTCAACCTGTCAAATACAAACAGTTCTGGTGTCAGGTAAGGAGAGATTTTCTGCTAGAAGGCTATTACAGGGGAGAGAAGAGACTCCTGCATGAGACAGGAAACAAGACCAGAATCTGATAACCCAGGAGGATGTTTTCTAGTGAAACAAATTTTTTTACTCCTACTCCTAGATTTGTTGCCCTGGGCAAGTAGAAAGATGGTGATGCCTCTTCTAGAGGCTAGAAAGGAGATTAAGGAACCCGTGAGAAGCTGATGGAGCAGGTTTTGCGGGAGGTCAGGGAATCAGGAATTCTCATTTGGTTTCATTAAGTTTGAGATGCTGGTTGGCTGTCCCAGGACTAAAGCCCCAGTGGACAGAAAGGGTAGAGGTTGGTTTGGGGACCTCCCGGAACTCTCCAGAACAAGGCAAAGGAGGAAATGAGAACTGGCACCTACTCTGTAGCAACAAAGTGTAGGCCAGCCTCCCCACCTCCTCTTCCCCGGTTTCAGGGCACACCCCTTGGATGCAAGAGGCTAGAATCAAGACCAGAGGAGACCTCAGGGAACGCGGTGGCTACGTTTTGAGGGACGCAGCTCTGGCCGAGGAGAGAAATTAGAAGATTGCCAAGGTTCTAGGAGTCTAATGTTATAAGATGACTTAGATTACAAACGTCAACCTTAAAAATAAAACTGCCAAGTATTTTACTAGCAAAATATGGGTTTCTTTGGGGACAGCAGAGAATTGCAATACAGGGAAAGCAGGCTATGGCAAAAACACAGATAGGCAAATCCAGGGAACATAGCTGGAGGTATTTTTTATAGAGGAAGGGGTGGGGGCGTCGGAAAGGCTGTTTAAACAAAAAGTCCATTGGAGCACACTGGGAGTTGGAAGTAGAGTGGCTTCTCATTGGCTGGTTGTGACTGTCTGTCATTGGCTGGGCTACTGAGGTGGGGAGGAGCCAAGCCTTCCTTTCTCCCTCCATAGTATCCATGGGCAAGGTTCTTCTTTTCCTGTTGGATTTGTAATTGACTTTGAGTGGTAGGGCGTGAGAGCTCTCCCTGTCCAACCTCCTGACTCCCATTTTAGTGAGGTTGCCCTTTATTCATTTTTACACAAGATCCTGTAGATAAGAAAACTTCCAAGTCCCCAAGATTCTAAAGGTTCCAAGACAAGGCTTAACCACTACCCTGGTAATAAACTTCAAGCCCCAAATGGTGGCTGCCATCGCCCTTCAGAATCTGTCCACTGGCTGCTAAGTTTGACATCACCTTGGCCCACTCTGTTCTCTGCTCATGAAACTCCACTCACACTGGCCGCCTTTCAGTTTCTTGAACACCAAAGCCAGCCTCAGGGCCTTTGCACTAGCTCTCAGACTGAAATGTTTGGCCTGGAGATTGAGGTTGGCTCATTTTCTGTTCCCAGCTCAAGGCCAGTTCCCTCTAGAAGACACTTTCCCAGACCACACAAACGGAATTAGCTCTCCCAATTCCAGATCCTACTTTAATTCATTAAATAAGGCATTTAATAAATATTAAACAAGTTTTTAAAGCACTTACCATGGTGCCTGGCATATAGGAAGCTTTCAATGTGTTTGTTAAATACGTAAAAATTTTCTTAATAGTCTCTATCACTACCTGAAAGCATGTTATATATGCGTTTGCATTTTTATTCTGCCTGCCCCCGCCCGAATGTTCTCTCCAGGAAGGTCAGGGACTTCTGTCTGGTTCACAGATATATTCCCAGTGTCTGACACACAGTAGATGTCCAATAAATATTTTGTTACATGAATGAATACAATTTGTTAGTCTCTCAAATTCGTGTAAAGAGCAATCAAGGTCTCCAAATTCTTGAGTCTAAAGACCAAAGAAGTCTGGTTCCCAATATAGATTTCACAGTAACAGAATCATCTCTGGCTGATCCCAGTCTCTCTTTACCCTGGGCGGCCGACAACTGACCCTTCTCCCCTACCAGCTACTTCTCATCAGACACCCTCTGATCTGGGCTGGGTGAGGCTGAAGCATGACCCTCTTTAAATTTAGCTCCTACCATGCATTTTCTTAGATCACTCTACAGGCTGCCATCCCCAGGGATCCAGCAGGCTGAGTGATGGGTGGGTTCTGGAAATTGCTGGGTGTGTGTGTGTCTGTGTTTATTTTGCTTGGGATCCTCCAAGCCTTATGGTTCTAGAACTTGACTTGTGCGGGGATAAGCCATTACCTGCATGGTGTTTGGCCCATGTGCCTTCCCCCTTGACTTTCTCTCCTCCCGGCCCTTCCCTCCCTCAAAGCCACCCCACCCAGCACGAAGAACTGGGCAAAAGGAGAAGTTAAAGATGAGTCTTGCTTCCTTCCTGGCACCCCTGCCCTCATGCTTCCCTAGATTCTAAGAGCATCCTTGGCTGTGAGTAGCATCAGGGAATGGACAGTCGCAGGAAGCAAAGCAGCAATATCCGT